ACAACAAAATCGTTTTGTGATAATCAATCAAAACTTATCTTCTCCGAATCTCGCACAATCATTGTTTGCAAAAGCTACAAAATCAACAACAACGTCAACAACAACGAAAATATTTCTTTCTTTATCACAGCCATCAACACCAGCAACAACATCATCAACAACAACAACATCAACAACAGCAAAGAAATTATTAAAACCATCTCCACTACCAAAAACCGAAATATCACCATCACCACCAACAATCACACCGACACCAATAACGAAAACGCCACCACTGGCCACTCAAACAACCAAACCACCACCATCTACACCAAAACCCTCATGCCCTCCAAAACAAGACCTCACCCTTGCCCTTATTGTCGTCGTCTTCACTTTCATATTTTGCCACACTCCCTCCTTTATTGATAACATCCTATGGACGATTTTTGACAAAAACCAAAAGAAATGCGGGCAGTGGCTATTCTACTACACAGCAGTGGCGGATCTGTTAGTCATGTTGAATTCGTCAGCCAATTTCATTATATACCTTTTGACCAGTCCTAAATTTAGACTTGATCTCATCCAGTATCTACCAATCAGAAGAGGTAGAAGAAAATGTGGGCGTGAATTTAGCAGAGCACAGCCAATGAGAGGCGGGGAAGGCAGATTACCGGAATTTGTTTGATTTTGATTGGTTGGTAAGTTAAGCCGAAATTATCATCAAATTTTAACTAACTGTTCGTAAACTTAGACTTGATTATTATACACCAATTAAAAAAGGGTAAAAAATGTTCAGCCAATGAGAATCGGGGAAACATTTTTTTGAATTTGTATGATAGAATTTACTGACGCTTTAAAATGGTGGTTTTTGGGTGTGATGAATTTTTTTTCAGATTGAGAAAATTGTTTCAATAAGAATGGGTGGATGAATATGTACGTTCAAGAGGATTTTAATTGACTTTTCTTACTTAAAATTGTAAAGAACTCCGCGAAAATGAATTTATTAATTGAATTGGAATGCTTTTAAAACTGAAATTTTGAAACTAGAAGACATTTTTATTAGATGAAACATGACAGAAGCTAAAAATTCTAAAAAAGTTAAAAATGTTAGTATAAATAATAACATCATTTTAGCAGTAACAATAAGAGCAGTAGTCGTAATGGTAGTAGCAACAGTAGTAGTAGTAGTAGTCAGTAGTTGTAGTAGAAGTAATGGTAGTAGTCAGTAGTAATAGTAGTAGTAGTAGTAGTAGTAGAAGTAGTAGTAGTAGTGGTAGTAGTAGTAGAAGTAGTAGTAGTAATAGTAGTAGTGGTAGTGGTAAAAAAAAGCAAGAAAAATAACACGGAAACACTCGTAAAAAATGAATGAAATTAGAATTTAGTGTAATTATTTTTTTACACAGCACCCATAAATACACAGACACACACACACACAGACACACACACACACAGACACACACACACACAGACACAGTCATACACAAACAGACAAACATACACACATACGTACAAATTTTCTGTCACACATGGGACTGCAACAAAATGACATGTCTTTTTTTTCTTGATTATTATTATCCAGTAATTTGTCGTGGCGATCCTGTCTGACCACCACTACCACTACTACTACTATTACTATTGCAACTACAACAGCTACTACTACTACTGCTGCTGCTACTACTACTACTACTACTACTGCTTTTTTTCAAAACAAAGAGAAAAAAGTATGGAAAGACGATGATAATGTTACACCACGCAATCAATCAGCATTGAATTCCAATTCCCATCCGGATTGTTGCACTACGCTTTTAGGTTTTTCTTTTTGTTTTTAGACTTCCGTTACACGCTATTATCACCATCATCACCATCATCATCATCATCATAATCATCATCATCATAATCATCATCATCATCGTCGTCATCATCATGAAAATGGCACCCGAGATCCTTACAATAAATTTTGTTTTTATATCGCAGCTCACACTGACGTTCTAGATGGATGGATGGATTAAACGCACCTAAGAATGAATGAATGGATGGATGGATGAATGAGTGAATGAATGAATAAAAAAAAGAACGAATGATTGAGCGAACGAGTATCAGATAGATGCTATTTGGATAGATTCACACGATCAAAAAAAAGTTTATTTTCGCTTTTTCTAAAATAATTCTCAATAAATAAAATCAGAAACTTTAAAAATGGCAAACAAAGATATGAAACAAATAGATAAAAATAAAATGTTACCAAAGATCATATATATTAAAATCAATGTCATTGACGTCATTAGATTGAGAAAAAAATCCATTTTCCGGTTTGCATAGATAAAATAATATCAACAAAAAAAGTTTCTCCTTCTAAAATGTTTACAAAAGTTCAAGAAACAAAGAAAGAAAAATAAACTAAATTCATGCATTAAAAACTGATCATTATCAAGATCTATTTATAGATTGATTCGGCTGTTTTGAAATCATTCAATCTCGCGCCATTAAGGACAGCCAATGAACTCACACAAAAATAAACTTT